AAAAAAAAAAAAAAAAGGAAAAGAAATAAAATAATTTTCTTATTACAGTGGTTCTCAAACGCACCAGGGTCACCTGAAGAGCTTGTTACAACACGATACTGGACCCCATCCCTAAAGTTTCCGTAAGTCTGGCACGAGGACCAAGAATTGGCATTTCCAACATACACCCAGGGAATGCAGTTACTGTTGGTCTGGGGACCATACTTTGAGTGGCACTGCTTTATAGGAAAAAAGTCCTGTGAACTTAAAGCACTATCTCTTCACAGCTGGTTATGGGTCTTTCTGTCTATATTTGCCAGCTTTCCTTTTTTTGGTAATTGTAAATATGTGCATATTACTTGGGGCACTGTTAATTCCCTCCATATTACTTTATATATAGATTTTCATGGAGTCTATACTTGCCATTTTTCCTGGTTACATCATATTCTACCTTACTGTGTCATTCTTTGCTTAGTAATTTCTCAACAGGCCTCAGGGATGTGCAATTTGATCTGTGCTAGGAGAGTGTGCATTTTCTTTTCTTTCTTTTTTGTTTTCTGAGATGTAATTTCACTCTTGTTGCCCAGGCTGAAGTGCAATTGTGTGATCTCAGCTCACTGCAACTTCTGCCTCCTGGGTTCAAGCCATTCTCCTGCCTCAGACTACTAAGTAGCTGGGATTACAGGTGCCCACCACCATGCCCGGCTAATTTTGCATTTTCAGTAGAGACAGGGTTTCTTCATGTTGGTCAGGCTGGTCTCGAACTCCCGACCTCAGGTGATCCGCCTGCCTCAGCTTTTCAAAGTGCTAGGATTGCAGGTGTGAGCCACCACGCCCAGACTGAATGTGTGCATTTTCTTACCTTCTGATATGCAGTCATTTTCTTGTCAGACAAAGGACCTATAAGAATATTAGTTGGGGCCAGGCTCAGTGGCTCATACCTGTAATCCCAACACTTTGGTAGGCTGAGGTAGGTGAATCACTTGAGGTCATACCAGCCTGGCCAACATGATGAAACTCTGTCTCTACCAAAAATATAAAAAAATTAGCTGGGCGTAGTGGTGTGTGCCTGTAGTCCCAGCTACTCAGGAGATTGAGAAGGAGAATTGCTTGAACCCAGGAGATGGAGGCTGCAGTGAGCTGAGATCGTACCACTGCACTCCAGCCTGGGCGACTGAACAAGACCCTGTATCAAAAAAAAAAAAAAAAAATGTTAGTTGGGTTAGCCATCCATCTCTTCGTCAGGGTAGCTCACTGAATATGCCTCCTGGGTTAAGATTTCCATGTGGCTAGGCCAGGCGTGGTGTCTCACGCCTGTAATCCAAGCACTTTGGAGGCCAAGGCAGGCGGATCACCTGAGGTCAGGAGTTCAAGACCAGCCTGACCAACGTGGTGAAACCCTGTCTTAAAAAAAAAGAAAGATTTCCATGTGGCAAGGACTCCAGTGGCCTGTTTCAGGGCCCAGCAAGTTGCTTGTTTGTGTGCACTTTTTGCTCTCTTGGTGGGAGCAGTCATACATGGATTCATGTTCTGGCTCTATCACTTACGTGCTCCTTGGCCAAGTTTTCTACCTTTTCTAAAACACCACTTCTTTATCCATAGATTGAAGCTCCAATAGCATGTACCTTGGAATCTAGTGGTGCGTTTAATAAGTGCTTGACACTGTAGCTCTCCCATTGGAAGCTCACTCATTCTCTTACCTGCTGCTTGCTCTTTGCATCTGGCTTTGCCCTCTTCTCCCTCAGTCCGCCTTCCCTAGGATGGACTGAATGGAGAATTTCCATTCCTTGCCTGGGTGAGACTTATTTTCATTGTCTACTCTGGGATCTTGGCGTCAGTCAGGGATTCATTCATTCATTCATTTATTTTGAGACAGAGTCTTGCTCTGTTGCCCAGGCTGGAGTGCAGTGGCATGGTCTTGGCTCACTGCAGCCTCCACTTCCCAGGTCCAACTGATTCTTCTGCCTCAGCCTCCCAGGATTCCTTTATTTAATCAACATTGATTTAAGCACCTGAGTGCTTGGGCATCAAACACTAGGAAAGGGAGTTTGATTAAAATTTGGTTCCTGCATTGGACTGTATTATTATCTTAGGGAGGGCCAACTGTAAACCTGCTCAGGCCAACCTCACACAGTCCCTTGCTATTGACTTTGGCATCTTTCCAGATTTGAGGCATGATGGCATCCTCCACCTTGGGTGCTTTCTATCCGTATCGGGGATCAGGTTCTTCTGAAGACCCAATCACTCTCTCCAAGGGTATTTTTAGGTCTTTTTTTCAGTTTTGGGGCAGACTAGAAGAAATAATGCTCACTGGTCTAATAGTCTCTCTAGGAAATGGAAGGACACCATGGTCGCTTTTCATGGAACTAGAGACCTAATTGCCTTTTCTCCGGAGTAATTCTCGTTTGTGCACCAAACAGGGAGAGGTGATTCTAGGCCTTTAGTCCTGAAATGTGAGCTAGGGTGAGGGCTGCCAATGGATGGAAATGGAAAAGGCCTAGCCCCTCATTGACTCCGATGAACAGTAAGTGCTTGGTTTCCCATTTAGTTCAGTCGAGGGGATGGACATTTCATGTGAACATCAACTTCCCATTTGTACAATGTTCTAGACTCTCCTGTTGCTTGATTTCATGACCCACTGGGGTGTTTCCTGTGGTCCAGTGAGATGGATTCCGTTCTGGTCATTGATTTGATGGTAAAACAGCTATGTCAGCTTTGCAGCTCTCCTAAACATTTGATAGATTGAAATGGCTTGTTTCTAGTGGGAGACATTGGTGGTCTTGTGACATGCTGTTGATTTTTGGGGCTACAAACAGTGCCTCCCACATGCCTGGCACTGGGTCAGAAATCATAATCCCTGCCCATAGCAACTGTTGCATTTACTTGAGAACAAACAGTAGTAAGAACTTTAGTGAACAGGGGTCCACGTGTCCCTATCAAAGAGGTTACCTATCATAAAGAGAAGGCCGAAAACTTGGAATGAGTGGAAAGTCCCTGCTCAATCAAGCTCTTAGCCATTTTACTAGCTGAGCCACCCAGGACAAATCACTCACCCTCTCTGTTCCTTAGTTTCCTCATTTATACCTGGGGATGGTAATAATATTTGTCTCTCCTCACAGGGTTGTGTGGAGTAGCTAATGAGCTGAGTGTAAAGGGCTCTATTTTAATATAAAGGCTAGTTATTGCTAGTGTTATTATCTAGCGATTAGGTTTAAGGGTCTTGGTGGCCTCAGACCCCCTGTAAGGTATGCACTGTTAGGAGAGGGGACTCAGGTGAAAGTCAAAAAGGCAAGTAAACAGAACAGGGCAGGTGATTCATTAACGAAGAGTTTAATAATCAAAGGTGTTTTTCATTGACAGACATATTTCACGCCTGACAGCGTCTTTTAAAATACCCTGAGGGAAGCAACTCATTTGCATGTTAAAGACTCAGGGACACCTTATGGAAAACTCCAGCTCCAGTCTATTTAGATGCCATTTAGCTCCTGTATCATCTATTTTATTATTTCAATTTCCACCTGTTTTATTACTGAGGACATTTGCAC